AGTAATCATAAAAATGTTTGTAAGGTCGGTAAATATTATTTGGCGTTGACAATGATGTAGAATCAAATATTATTTATTATAAGGATTTGGCATTCACCTGACATCCAGCCTCAGGCGCAGTATCAGCGTAATATCCAGGCAGTTGGCCGTTGCACGAGAACCCGGTGTCGGGGACGAAGGCCAGGATGGGGTAGTCCACACCTGGGACGCCTCTACCGCCAATGGCATCAGCCAGAGCTCTGAAGGGATCCACGATGCCATTGGCGTACACGCTGATTCCATTCCCATTCCTGTAGGCTCCATTCCCGTTTCCATTGGTGTACGCATCGTTACCATTTATGCCTCCATTCCCATTAGAATATGCGCCGTTCCCATTTCCATTGGAATATGCACCGTTTCCATTTCCATTAGAATATGCACCGATTCCATTTCCATTCCCATTAGAATATGCGCCGTTTCCATTTCCATTTCCATTAGAAAATGCGCCATTACCATTTCCATTTCTGCCATTGCCATTTGTATATACACCATTCCCATTTATACCATTTGTATATGCACCATTCCCATTCCCGTTTCTGTAAACTCCATTGCCATTTACGCCATTAGTATATCCATTTCCGTTTAGAGAAAAAACATTTCCATTTACAGGTGGCAAGTAACTTGCTTGTGCTAAACATATTCCAACGACAACTGAAAGACGAAAGGCAGAGATTAGCATTTGTTTGAATCCATATACACGTAAAAGGATATATATGCTACTGCATTCACACGCATACTTACGCACACTGTATATACTACGAAATATTTCTTACTGAGTAACGAAACAGATGATATATTGGGTGTCATTTCAAAAGCTGCCCGAGTCTCGTTCTATATATGAAAAGCAGTGAACAGAGTGGAAAATGTGGAAGCGCACTGACGATTGTGCTTGGAGCCCCGCTTTATATAGCTGCTCGTCCCTTTCTTCCGGAAGCTCAGGTCAAAGTCACGATGCCTGCAATCATTTAGGAAGCACGGTTAGGGTCGGATCTGAATCAGTCTTACGATATGATAACATGCGGCACCGCATATATGAATATACATATATCTATAGATATGTACGAATATATATATATATATATATATATACGAATATACATACAAGTGTATGTATATGTATAGATATGTATACATACATATATATATTTGTATATATATTCATACACTTACATATATACATATTAATGCACAAACGCCAACTGCTAGACCAGTGATAAGATGACACTGAAACAACGAAATACGGAAAGCGCAAGACCAGAGACAAAAAACGATTGGGAGAGGGCTAGATCTTGCAGTGGACTGGTACAGACTGCGGATGATAAAATATTCAGTATATATTTAAATATATAATTTATATATATGTATGTATATATACATACATACACACACACACACACACACACACACATATATATATATATATATATATATATATATATATGTATGTATGTACGCATATATATACATAATATATATTTGTGTATATATATATACATATATATATATATATATATATATATATATATATAAATATATGTATGTACGCATATATAAGACATACGTATGTGTGAGTATATATATATATATGCATATGTATACACATACTCATATATATTATATATATATATATCTGTGTGTGTATGTATGTGTGGACATACATATATGTATTTTGTTACAGTTATCCTCTCAAACTGCAATGCATTATCTGATAAATAAATGTATTTCGCTGTAGACATATATACACTTTTTACAACACAGAAAAAGGCATGATTACAATTACATTTGACCATCAATATTTGTTCATGGGATATGATATGTCCATATCGTTTGGAAATGAACATGCATATATGCACACACATACAAATATATATGTAGATTGACAGAAATTTCGTGAGTAAAAGCAATTGCACAATCAATGAAATAATAAAAACAGTATACAATTTAGTCAAGAAATACATTTCTGGAACTAGATCGTCGTACTCAAAATATATAGTCTTTGCTCTTCATCTCATCTACAAAGACCACACACTTTCTGTACACATTTACTTAGCGTCCTCTTCCCTGTGTTACTCTTCACATCAGAATTCAGCCAAAGGCGAATGTAAAACTTCAAAAACTAAGTTTTAGCTTTACACTGTATTTTTTTTCAGAGCTTTACTTAAGGTTTTGCCTCAACTATTCTCTGACCCACCATCTACTCTAATGCCATACAGCCTTTGTTATTCCTCATGTCAGGTTACCCAAGTGGTCCAAGTTTTAACTGCCTTGGATCACAAGTGATTAAACAGAGAAGGAATTTACACGGGCAGTCGGCAGTGAGCTTTATTTATGAGACAGACATGTGTAAGTATATATACACATTTTCAATGACACACACACTCACAAGCATATATCCCCGTACATATATAGACATGTTAACCTTTATGTGCTTATATATATGTATATATATATATATGTGTGTGTGTGTGTGTGTATTCATCTGTCTATCTATATACATGTAAATGATAAATGTATAGGTATATATACACATTTACTTATAAGAAAAGCATATATGTGTATGTTCACAGGCATACACAAAGACATTTACAGTTATACACACACGCATATATATATGCATATATATATACATATATATATACATATATATGCTTGTGTGTAAGTGTGTTTGCATGGTTGTACTTTTACCTGACCTATATAAATATATATATATATATAAATATATATATTCGAGAGGATAACATACATACATATACATATATATATGTATACACACACGCACACACACATGCACACACACACACACAGTCACACACATACACACACACAAACACATACATATATATAAACAAATATATACATATACACATAGGCTACACATCCACACACACACCAACACACACAAACAAACACACACACACACAAACAGATATATACATATATATACATTCATTCCTATTTAACTTAGTGTAGTTAAATGTACAGGTCATATATAATCTAGATGAAAAAAAAAATGTATATCAGAATTCTTTGCAATTATATTTTATTCCATGCACATATTGCATAACGGCATATTTTAGTTAATCGATTGTATCTGTCTATACCCATAGTAAACTTAATAATAAAAGAGTGGTTCATGAATGGTTACACAACAATGAGATCTCAGGATATTAACTGATTATCCTTATCAATTAAGCTTACAAAGCAAATGGATCAAGTGCAAGTCAGAGGATGTGAATTAAGAAAGAAGAAAAAACTAAAGAAGTCGTTTTTCATATATTATTAGTTATACACACACGCACACAATCACACACACACACACACACATATATATGTATATATATAGAAGGGGGGGGGGCGTATGTATATATAGTTATAATTCAAGACAGGCGGAGAAAATAATAACTGACCAGTGATAAGTTAGTGCAAGGAAATAAGGAAAATCGGGGCTGAAACTGGAAACAGAGAACATAAAACCAGACTAAAAGAGATTGGGAGAGACCTACGTCCAGCAGTGGAATGGTGTAGACTGATAACCACAAAATATAGTATACATATAAGCACACACACACACACACATATATATATGTATGTATATATGTATATATGTATATATGCATCTATAGATATATATTTATGCATATATGCATATAAAAATATACGTATATGTAAGTACACACACACACACACACACACACACACATATATATATATATATATATATAAATGTATAGATATATATTTGCATGTATAGATATACATATATATACATATATGTGTGTGTGTGTACACACATACACACTCATACCCACGCACATATATATAAATATACGTGGGTGTATTTATATATGTATATATAAATATATATATGTATACATATGTATATATATATATATATATATATATATATATATATACAAACACACCCGCATTCATATATGTATATGTGTGTGTGTGTGTGCACAAACACGCACACACATGTCCTTAAAGCATGTATATTAGCATATATATGTCGATGTGTGTGTATATATATATGTATATATATATATATACTTATATATATATATTTGTGTATATATACATATTTGTGTATATATACATATTAATACATAATACATATTCATATTTATATCAATACAACTATATATGTATATACATACATACGTGTGAATATATACATGCATATATAGGAAATTAGTGGATGGAGACAATTCCGATTATGCCAAGGAAGGAATCGGGAATGGAACTAAAGAGTGTTGGTTATTATATGCATCTATATTGATTTTTTAAATTACCAGGTGAGGATGTGTTAACCTTAGAATTTAATTAAGATAGTAGAATAGAATATTCCTTTTTATGTTTAATGTAAAAACATTGCTTAAAACTGTTTTTAAATCTGCTGTACATATTCAGCAAGAATAAATTCAAGCCACCTCATGTGTAACATTATCAATATATGCATAAGAATTGGTATCGATATATTAGTAGCAGTGATTCAATAAGAATACATTATATTTTGTATGTGAAAACTTTCGATACAACATGTGTGTGTGTGTGTGTATTTGACTCAAATAATATTAGGTGAAGAAACAATGCTTTTCGTGTGCTTATCTTTACTTTCGAAAAAAGTCTTTAGTTTTATACTGACAAACAGTTATAAATGAAACAGTTTTAGCATAAACATAGTTAAATACATTTTAATAGAATATGAAAAACAGCTTTTTCTATGGACATTCTTTATAACAATAGTAAATTGGAATATTATGAGAGTGATTTCGTAGACCAGATGTTTATCTAAATTCTTACTAATATTTCATAATTCGTAGTCTAAGCTTTAATACTAATGCTGTTTCCTGTAACTAAAGATCTTTGTAATATCATTATTCTGGTATAAATTTCGCTTAATCTTAATAAATAGAAAAAATACTACGAAGTTCAGAGACTCGGCGTTTGATACAATCCATTTATTCCATTACCATACGTCGCTCTGCCATTTCCATTGGCTTTGCCATTTCCGTTGACGTAGCCGTTCCCATAACCATTGCCGTTAGCATTTCCATTCCCATTGCTGTATCCATTTCTGTTGCCGTTCTTATACCCATTTCCGTTGGTAAACCCGTTACCGTTGCCGTTTCTTTTACCGTTGCCGTTGGTGTAACCATTACCGTTTCTGTTCCCATTACCGGTGTATCTATTGGCGTTACCATTTGTATGCCCATTCCTATTTCTGTATCCACTCCCGTTACCAATACCGTTGGTATATCCATTTGCATTCCCATTACCGTTTTTGTAACCATTGCTGTTACCATTACCATTTGTGTATTTGTTGCCGTTGCCATTGGTGTATCCATTGCCGTTGGTGTATCCGTTGCCGTTGCCATTACCGTTGGCGTATCCATTGCCGTTGCCATTACCGTTGGCGTATCCATTGCCGTTGCCATTACCGTTGGTGTATCCGTTGCCGTTGCCATTACCGTTGGTGTATCCATTGCCGTTGCCATTACCATTGGTGTATCCATTGCCGTTGCCATTACCGTTGGCGTATCCATTGCCGTTGCCATTACCGTTGGTGTATCCATTGCCGTTGCCATTACCGTTGGTGTATCCATTGCCGTTACCATTACCGTTGGCGTATCCATTGCCGTTGCCATTACCGTTGGTGTATCCGTTGCCGTTGCCATTACCGTTGGTGTATCCATTGCCGTTGCCATTACCGTTAGTGTATCCATTGCCATTGCCATTGCCGTTGGTGTATCCGTTGCCGTTACCATTACCATTTGTGTATCCATTTCCATTGAAATTACCAATCTCAGCATTCAAACCGTAGAACTGTTCAGCCGTCGAACAGTCAAAGTTGTACCACCAATCGCACACGAAGTATTGCTGATTAAACACTGTGCCATTGGGACAAAGGAACGAGTCGATTCTGCCTCCTGCCTGACAAATGTGGAACACCTGAAATGTATAAGAAATAATTTTTAGGTCTATAAATCGAAAAGGAATTTTGTCTTCTAATCTGTACAAAATGAAAGATATCTTGATATATTACGTATAAATTTTAGCGCACAGTACATTAGAAAATTCTATGGAAATCTATGGAAATATTAGTAATCATGAAAATGTTTGGAAGGTCGGTAAATATCATTTGGCGTTGGCAATGATGTAGAATCAAATATTATTTATTATAAGGATTTGGCATTCACCTGACATCCAGCCTCAGGCGCAGTATCAGCGTAATATCCAGGCAGTTGGCCGTTGCACGAGAACCCGGTGGCAGGGACGAAGGCCAGAATGGGGTAGTCCACACCTGGGACGCCTCTACCGCCAATGGCATCAGCCAGAGCTCTGAAGGGATCCACAATGCCATTGGCGTACACGCTGATTCCATTCCCATTTCCGTAGGCTCCATTCCCGTTTCCATTGGTGTACGCACCGTTACCATTTATACCTCCATTCCCATTAGAATATGCGCCGTTCCCATTTCCGTTGGAATATGCGCCGTTTCCATTTCCATTAGAATATGCACCGTTTCCATTTCCATTAGAATATGCGCCGTTTCCATTTCCATTAGAAAATGCGCCATTACCATTTCCATTTCTGCCATTGCCATTTGTATATACACCATTCCCATTTATACCATTTGTATATGCACCATTCCCATTGCCGTTTCTGTAAACTCCATTGCCATTTACGCCATTAGTATGTCCATTTCCATTTAGAGAAAAACCATTTCCATTTACAGGTGACAAGTAACTTGCTTGTGCTAAATATATTCCAACGACAACTGGAAAGACGAAAGGCAAAGATTAGCATTTGTTTGAATTAATATACACGTAAAAGGATATGTTTGCTACTGCATTCACACGCATACTTACGCACACGGTATATACTATGAAACGTTTCTTACTGAGTAACGAAACAGGTGATGTATTGGGTGTCATTTCAAAAGCTGCCCGAGTCTCGTTCTATATATGAAAAGCAGTGAAGTTGTGAAGAGAGAAAGCGAGACGTGGAAGCACACTGACGACTGTGCTTGGAGCCCTGCATTATATAGCTGCTCGTCCCTTTCTTCCGGAAGCTCAGGTCAAAGTCACGATGCATGTAATCATTTAGGAAGCACGTTTAGCGTCGGATCTGAATCAGTCTTGCGATATATTATGT